CTGAAATGTGGCCCATTCACAATATATCAAAGCTTATTTGTTGATTTTTACTGTGTAACATTTAATTTATTCTAATTTGCTACTTCCATTCATTTATTTAAACATTTTTCACTTTCCACATCTCTACACACAATTCTAATTATAAATAAACTATTGATACTGTAATTTCAGTAAGTTTTAATTAAATTTTGCATAATTGATAATTTTTGAAAATTTTTAATGTTTTGTTTATATTTAGCATCTGATTCAGGAAGCAGTTTTCAGTGTGGCCATTATACTTTATTAGCTAGTAAGGTTTGCCTTCTATTAATTAGATGTTAGATGAAATGTTTTATGTGCTATCATGTGCAATTGGATTCAATAGAGCGTAATTTTATGGCAGAGATTTGTACTTAAAAAATAGTCTTTAATTATTTTTAAAATGAAATAGTTTTCACATCCTTAAATGTGAAAAAAAAATGGATAAATAAATAAATATAATGCTTACAAAACCCCACAATTTTCTTGAATCTCGCTGATGCTGATTCTACCATTACTTTTGGTGCAGGTGAATAAATAGCATCACTATCATTTAAGAAGGGGGAAAAAAAAAAAAAAAAACTGGTAAAATTGAAATTCTGGATTAATGAAAAGAAAATTTCTCTTGTTTTTATCCTCCTGTTTTTAGTTCTGAATGCCAAAGAAACCTGTCTTATGGCTGTTTTTAATAATCTGTCCTCACATGAGCTGATGTAAACATGTTTGCTCCTTGAACAAAACACAAAAAGCCAAATATGAGGTATGTGTAAATTGAAACATAACATCTAAAATGTTGTTTAAAAAGTAAATTTACATATGTTAACTGTAAGAACTCAAAAATTTTGATACTTTCTGATTATCTGCACCCCCACTGAAAAGCCTTAAGAATTACTAATGAGACAAACACTTGTATGACGACCCATATATGCTTGTAGCATCCTTCCATATGGCTTTACATTTCTTTGGATATTTTCATCAGAGTGATTGCAGATTGTGATCTCTGTTATAGAAATATTATTATTTTAGCGTAAGAATGGACCACACACTGCATTTTTCTTATTCTTTTGCAAAACGTGGATTTAGCTTTCTGCATGATTTGACTGCAATGGTGACACTTTTGTACTTACTAAAATCATGCACCTCCTTTTAGGATTTTCGTGCTGATATTGTGTGTGATGGTCAATTTATGGAATTCTGATTTATTTTTTTATTGAAAACATGTCACTATGTATGTGAGGAAAACAACAACACAAAAGTGTAAAAGTCTTGTGTTCTAGAGAGAAAAAAAAAAAAAAAAAAAAAAAAATATGGTGTCACTGGATGTATGTTGAAATGGACATATAGCTCAAACACTTCTCTCAGTGGCACCAATAAGTTCGCAAATGCTCTCCAGAGTTCTTAATGGAGTTGAGTGACGTTTGGGTAGGGTTACAGATAATCAAAGTATCAAAATGTTATTTTTAAATTTATCATTCTAAATTTTCTAAAACTGAAATTTGTTTATATTCAAAAATGAATGCAGATTGCTGGCATTGATAAATGATAGGAATTCTACTATACATAAATAATATGTTGCATCAAGGAACTTTAAATAATTACTGAATGACACTTTGGATGTTTAAACAGAATTCCAATAATGCATACTCTCTAAGGATTTACCTTTGCACCTAAGGCCTTTATAGAGAACCTCTGCCTTTATAGAGAACTTTGAATGGAAAATTATTTCACATTCACATTACACATGAAAAGCACCCATGCAGCCACTCCATTCACCCAGGTCAAACTGACAGTGTTAAGTATTCAACTGTTTGCCCTCTGGTGGGGCCGCTGAAACCAAGGGTTAGGCAGATCAAAGAATTTTGTAAATTATTTAATCATGTCTCGTAAGTATTTTTTCACATTTTCTCCTTTTAAATTTTTTTTTTTTATTAAAGTTGTTGTTTGCATATAAATAGCCAATTAAGGAATACTAAATACCCACAAAGAATTATTTCAAGGTTTATTAAGTACAAAACTGTTATATTTTAAAATTAATTTATGCTAATTCAGTGGTGTCATTATATATGCAGTAGAACAACAAAAAAGAGATTCAAGTGACATTTTAAGTATAGAGTTCTTTTTATAAAATTGTTTAATTTTTTGAAAATTGAAGTTGTGTTTGTTTACATTAAAAAATCAGCAAGAATTACAGGTATTCAGGAATTAAACAGCTGTGGATAATCAGAGTTCTATTGCATTTGGAGAAACATATATTTGATGATCTATTTTATAACTAATGAATTAATTTAAAAAGTAGTTGGATGTTAGTTCTGACATTAGTTGCGAGTGAACAAAACTAAAACTTTTTTTTAAATGCAGAAGCTCAGTAAAATTGGCAGTTTTTTTAAGAATGATTTTTGTACCTCACTTGCAGTTTCCATGCAGTTTGTTTATTTATTATCCTTATTTTTACTATTTTTAGAGAAGTGCACATCTTAAAAAATTGATTTTATTCTTAAAATTGTGTTATTAATCACTTAGATGAAGAGATTTTTATGTTGTTGTAATGTGTGTTATATATTATAATTTCTTATTTCTCGAAAAAAAAAGGGGGGAATGAAAAGAAAAAACATAAATTCTTCAATGAAAAAAATATCAGTACTTTGTAGAAAAGTTTAAAATTCAGATATTATGTGAACATTCTTTTGCTTTGAATCCCGTGGAAGGCGGGGTTGGTTTAAGAGTGTGGTGTCTTTGTGGCATAGGGACATTTTAAATGTTGTTGAGTTGGAAATCCTGTAGAGATGTTGATGGTAAGTGAAAAGAGGTAGACCTTTGGATCTCTCTCAAAGAGTTGTTTCAAATTTGGAACTGAGCAAGCAAAAATTATACAGTACAAAATCCAAAATCTGGACTCGTCGGATTTCGGCGATTCCGGATTTGGAATTTTTCTGGATATTAGATCATCAGTTTAAATCTAGTAATATGGCATGTAGAAATTATAAAACTAAAAATATGAATTAATGATTTATGAAATAATGAAGTATTTATGATCCAAAGGGTATCAAAATTTACAAAAAAGGAAAAAAAGAAAGAAGAAAGGCTTAATATTTATTTGTTTACCTTATTAAACATTTCTTTCCATGTAAGTTGTTTAAGTAGCTTCTTTTTTTATGATAATACTTTCTTTTTATTTCTATAGACAGACATAATCTCTTGTTTAGTTACATTGTTGAAGTCCTGTAACTGCTGTTTCGAGAATTCCAACTAACTCGTGAATCGAAATTTTCTCGTTTTCAGTAACTTCTCTATCACTTTCTTCACTATCGGTAGCAATATTTTCTGGATCTAGAATCATACTACAGATTTTGCCATTCGTTAATTGATTGATGATTGAGAAGCATTGTCATCACAATAAAAATCTTCTTTTATATCATCTTCATTTATAACCGCTTTTTCACATTTCTTTACAAAATCCATTAATTTGAAAATTTCACCTTTGTTTTGTAATACCTGAAAACCTTTAAAATTAGCGGCTATCATCATCAAATTTAGCTATCCTTTACTATGCATCATGAGCTTGGCGACTAACGACAAGTTGTTCCGTTAAATTTTATCCTGCTTCTGTCACGCACTGAGATAATTAAGCCTGAATTGTATTAATTTAGTTATTTATTATACTTGTATCTATTTCCTTGCATATGCTGAAGGCTTATCAGAGTTCTGAATAAATAAATACCCACATATACCTTCCCACATTAAGCCTTATTAAGAGCCGGCGCTACATATCTTACCGCCTGATGCAGTCTGTGTTGGTCCTAAAGTCTGCGACTTGGTGCGGCCATTCAAGCCCTGGCGCTTGTTCTGGGTTCATGTGAATACAAATCAGTTATTTTTAATTTAAATAGCCTTAAATGTAATCTTTGGGTCTATGAGTATCATCAACAAAATCTATTTTTAGCATACGGAAAGAAATTTTTGGCAAATTTTTCCTTGTCAACATTTTTTAGTTCATTTAACTAAATCTGTAATCATTGCCAAACGTAATGTCAATATAAAAGGTTACCATACTTCTTTATTATTCAATTATTAACATAAAAAAATTGTTTAGGCATCGCTGCATGAGTCATTACTCAAGTTGTTTTTTGATAAACATGCGGTGATGAGAAGAAAGTAAGTAATAAATACTGATTCGCCAGGTTGTTGTCAAATAAATGATGTATCTATGTGGAATGTTTCTTCCTCCAGAAATGATGTGTGCCAAGCAGATATGCAGCAACTGAGCCAAATTATTGATCTTACAAATTTATACTAAAATGATTGTTTCTTCAATAGCAAGGTATTTTATTTAGTGTCAAAGATAAGAATTACGAAACGAAATTAAGAATCGAGACTCTCCAGATGTTTTATTATTTGTGGAGGGGGGGATCAAATGCACATGCGTAAAGGCTACAAGAAAACATTGTTAGTGGTTTTTGAGGTCCGAATTTTAGATCGTTACAGATAATGGACCTTCGAATTTTGGACTTTGTACTGTATTGTCATCTGTAAGACCTTTGTATCTCTCTCAAATAGTTGTTTCAAATTTGAAACTGAGCAAGCAGAAATTATTTTGTCATCTCTTAGGTGCTAGTCACATGCTTTAATGCATTTTATGGACCTGATCATCATTTATGGACAGAGAATTAGAAACAACAGCATGAATCAATTGTGTGCCTTTATTGTGATTAGGTCATGTGATATTTCTTGTATTTTAAAAAAGTGACTGATTTATAAAACAGAAATTTTCTAATATCTAAAATTCCAAGTGTAATGGGATTTTTTCAAATTTGATTATTTTCATCAATCAGCATTGTATAAAGTTTATGACGAGTTCTTTTGAAAAATATTGGTAGTGTTGATTTTGCACACATTTGATACTGGTAGTTGTAATTTTCCTGCAGAAATGAGTATCAGTAAATAATTGTAACGGATTTTTTTTAATATGTAATTTTATTTTGCAGATATGGAAGGGGAGGACTTAGCAACTACAGTCCTCACCTGTGAGGGAGATATCAGAGACCCTTTATTCCATTCCAAGTTAGAGATTCTTGTGAACAAGTTGCAAAATCTCATCTCTGATGGTAAAATTAATTTATTTCAATATAATTTTGCAGATGATGTAATGTATTATAGTACAAAGTCTGTAATCCGGACTCGTCGGGTCTTCGGCGATTCCGGATTATAGATCATCAATTTAAATCTGGTAAGATGGCATGCAGAAATTGTACAATTAAAAATATGAAACTGTAATTTACGAAATAAAGAGCAAGTATGATCTACAGGGTATAAAATTTTACAAAAAAAGCATAATATTTATTTGTTTACTTTATTAAACATTTCTTTCAATGTGCGCATGCGTAATGTACATAATGTATGCACGCATATTCTTTATGCGCATGCATAAAGCATACAAAAAAAACGTTTGTGGCTTTTGAGATCCGGATTGTGGATCATTCCGGATAATGGGCGTCCGAATTGCGGACTTTGTACTGTATATGTTTATTTTCTAGGCTAATTGCAACTGCTATATTTCTTCATATGTATATTTCCTGTAAAGATTTTTATTTCATCGTTTTTCCCTAACAGATTTCAAAAAATATTTGAAAGGTATTTGAAGATGGCTTTTAGGAACAACAATTACGTCTTGACAAATTTTGATATTATATATAAAAAATAACATTTTTTTTAAAAGTCTTATTAATTTTATTTGTCTTCTGTAACTAATAAATTTCACATTTCTAATTTATTCGAAATTGCATGAGTTTGTTCTAATATAGTTAGAACTAAAAGCGAAGTGTGGTAATTAAAAATTTTTAATTTATAGTTGCAAAAATAAATTAAAATTCTCAGCTGTCTTAATTTCAAAGTGTAAAGAAAGTAAAATATTTTTCTTAGGTTGCAAATAAAAACTTTCAGTGATCGTTAAACCTGTACCCTAGCCTTCTGGACCAGATCTGTAATGGAATGTTATAGCTATTTTATCTATAGAGTTGTAGCTAAAATGTTGCATCTGCTCAAAAGAAATGCACAGTAATTCTCGAGACTGCTTTTGAGGATCTGTTGCAGTTTCATCTGCAGCCCAGTATGTCAGTAAGTCCTATGTTCATGTGTACCATTTGAAATACATGTAGGGAATGGCAGTTTATGCCAGTAGAATGCGTTTACCTTCTACAGAGTATTTCTTATACCACCTCAATGCAGCATGTTAGATACGACAGTAAATGTTCACCATTTTGTCCGTTCATAAACTCATTTCTACCTAAATAATCACTCTAAAAAATTTAAACACAACAAAACAAATTTATTCTACAAAAAATAAAACTTTTTACAACTATTGTCACTTGAAGCAAAACTAAAGGGAAAATAATACTATACTGGTTGAATGTATATGAACAGTGCTGTACTTAACATAGCATTTCTGCAGATATACCTCATTACAGAAACTTATTAGTTCCTTCTACTTGCTTGTAAATTTTTGCCAGATATTTTAAAATTGCCCCATGTATGCTTTTCAAATGATGAAGATGAGTAAGAATTTTTTGTAAAATGTTAACAGTTAATGTAGGAAAATCATTCAGTATTCATCATGCCAACAAAATAGTTTCTTTGTCGATGAGGTAATTTTGAACAGCAGCATTTGTATAGTTACATTATGAATGTATCTCCATGTGAAAGGTCTGTGGAAATTATCCTTGTCAAAGAATGGATGAAATCTTAAAGAACTGAAGATTCGGGCAGCTTCTGTGGGAGCCTTTAAAGTTATAGCTGAAGGAGTGGTTTTTCATTAATCTGGCAGAGCAGCACATATCCAGAATTCTTTCGGAAGTAATCAAGTGCTGGCATGTAGTTTGTTCGTCCATAGTACAAAAATCTTTTTTATATTGCTATCTATACAAGATCCTTATGTTACATTAGTGCATCACAACTTACATATTATTGTGGGTTATGAGTTCACTGATTTCTCTGAAATGATCACATGATAAAAATTACTTATGCAAAGCACAATAAATAACAGCTAAGCTCAAAGACACAGTTTAGTTAATGCTAAATCAATATAGCTAGCAAGCAATAAACTATCAACAAAAACACCTCATTCCAGTGCTGCAGGCATTGTTTCTAGTGTAAAAGTCTTCTTGAAGTTTCTGCCACTGGAATTAATTTTATGACTAGATGCTTGTATGACTAGTAGCTTGTATGACTAGTACTTAGAAGTAATAACTGTGGAAGAGAAAAATTACATAATGATTTTAATGAGTCCAACTAATATGATTTAATGTTTTAATTAGATTATCATGCGTTAAATGTACACTGGTGTGCAAAAATTAAATGTACAACAGGATGGCTGCATGGTTTGTGGTTTTATTCGTGTAACGTGCATATAGAAGACTGCATAGAATCTGGCTTCTACACTGGTGTGCAAAAATTAAGGACGAGACGGTTTTTTCGATATAACTTTGTACAAAAGCTTTCCAAATCAACACATTTAATACCGTAAGATCCCCAATACGTAAGGACATGCGTAATGTAAACAACACTTACTAAAAGAGAAATCAGAGGGATAAAAAGAAGCTTTATTGAAAAAGTAGCACGGAGCACAATGCGACTGAAGGCCGAAACATCCCTATGATGGGTGTCCAGCAAAAAACATCCAGTCTTTAATAGGGAATATGATCTCCCCTGACTGCTAGGCAGGTTTCACAGTGTCTGCCCATGCTGAGAATGAGAGTGTCAATGAGTTGTTGAGGCATTGCTGCCCATTCGTCTTGCAGCGCTAATCGAAGCTCCGGAATCGTTACTGGTGGTAAGGTTCAAGCGTCTGCCTAGAAGATCCCATATATGCTCGATGGGATTGAGATCCAGAGATCGTGCCGGCCAATCCATACGTTCAATATCCTCACTCTCTAAGAGCTGTTTGGCAGCTACTGTGCGATGACATGGTGCATTGTCATCCATGAAAAGGAACTGTGGACCCATAGCGCCTCTAAAAAGACGCACATATGGAAGAAGAATCTTGTTACAATAATGGGTCCCGTTGTTTGAACCTGCGTCGAAGATGTGAAGGTCTGTACGACTACCAAGCAGGATGAGTCCCCAAACGAGAACACCGCCACCTCCATACCCTTTCAATGATGTTCGAGGGATGATTGCGGATTCCCCGCTCTCTTCAGATGAGTATGCGATGAGAATCGCTACTCAGACTGAATCTGCTCTCATTTGTAAAGAGTACTTGTCCCCATTCATAGTCTCTCCAATTCCGGTGTTCCCGGCACCACAGAGAACGCCTTCTCCGTTGGGCAGGCGCTAGAGGTACACACCGTACAGGGCGTCGTGCAAACAGACCACCACCGTGCAGTCTTCTGGCCACGGTAAAACGCGATATCGGTCGTCCAGTCGCCTGTGTCGTGTGTCTAGCGATTTCTCCCGCTGTCTGCCGCCTGTTTCTTCTGGCCTTTAAGGCAATATACCAGTCATCTGCGGGTGTGGTTCCTCGGGACAACCACTACTAAACCCCCGGATAGCTGTTCCTGTAGTTTGAAATTGTCTCCAAAGTCGTGAAATGATGCTGTGAGCAATTCCGAACTCTGCAGCCACACTTGTCACACTGCGGCCTTCCTCCAACTTTCCAATGATTCGACCTCGGGTAAAAGCATCCAGATGTCGTCTAACAGATTGATTATTCGCCATTTTTCGCTGAGGCAGCAACTCGGTGTGATTTTAACTGCTATATAGCGTGCAATCTCTTTGCCAGAAATACTGATCTTACACCGACAACATGCTTTATACTACTCAGACACTCCCCCATTACGTCTACCTGCATATCTGCGCATGTGCTACCGTACATCACCTTACTTAATCTCCTGATTGGTCTTTCTGTCCGCTCTGCCTCTTTGTTCAGCTGATATGCTAATTTTTCGACTTCGTCCTTAATTTTTGCACACCAGTGTACATACAAACATTACATAAAACAGTGATAAACTCATTATATTTTCATTTCATTCATCATTTTTCGACTTTGTCCTTAATTTTTGCACACCAGTGTATTTTTATGTCAATCAGGTTAAAATGTAGTTTAAAATATATTGTTTCTTTTAAAATGCTTAGTTTGTTAACTAATAACAGATTAAATTTGAAACTTGAATACTGTATACTTTGCGGAAAGGCAAAGGTGGTTTATTTCTAAAAGTAGCAACACAATATTTTTAAGTTGTCAAATTGTTGATTAAATTTGAAAAATCATACACTTTGCTAAATGAAAACATACTAATGCATCAAAGATTAGTTAAGATGTTTCATTTTATACAGTGACTATGTATTACTTTTAAATCACCTAGTATATGAATAAAAATTTATTAAATTCGTACAAAATATGAAATAACAAGCATTCAAAATTTGGTCTTTGAGATGCACATGTTTGCATTGAAGATTGCGTGCATTCAAAATTTGGTCTTTAAGTGCACGTGTTTTCGTAGAAGATTGCGTGTATACGAAATTTGGTGGTTCTAGGTGCCATTTTTTTTTTTTTTTTTTAAAGCTGAAAGGAGCAATTTACCCAGAAGGGCTATTAACTTCGTTTTGGCATTTTGCGTTTATTCACTATAAATGGCGAAGCACTTTGTCTGTGCTGTCTAATTTTATAATCATGAAGTTGTGTGGGGCATATCTGCTAATGAGCATTTTAATGTGTGAGGAGTTGGTATTTTAAATATATTTTTAAATGCAATAGAATATGGCAAAAGTTTTGCAGTATTAGATGTGTAAATGGTATAGAATGTATCATTTTACTTAATATTTTTATAAGCATTTTTTCTTGCGTGTATTGAAGGAAAAAAAAAAAAAAAAAAACTTAACACTGGAAAAAATTGTCTGAAATACTTTGTTACTTCAGATAAACTAGGTTCTCTGTTTTTACCTTTTTTCTTTCCTCCTACTTTATTCAATTGTAGCTGTAGAATATACTATAGTTTATCAAGCAATTCTGAATTACTAAGAAATATTTCTTAATTCTACATTCACATGTGTAATTAACGAAGAGAAATTACGGGAATCAAATACTGTTAATTATTAAATCCTGATTTAAGTGTTTTTTTTTTTTTTTTTAATTTACTTGTTAACTGCGGCCGTGTCGGGAAATGGAACAGGGAAATTGAGACCTGGTTAAAATTAATATTGGAACTTTTTAATAAAAAATTTGTTAGCTCTGTCTTGATGCCTGTTTGACGAAACACGTTCTGGAATTTAGCAGACTTCAAGTGTCACTATGCTTCAAGTTACTAGACTTCAAGTTCACTTCTCTTGAAAAGTCCATGATGATATTCGAATTAGACTAATTATTCCATTTACTGCTGCTTGTAGTACTTATTGTTTTTTTAATATGACGTTTTTGTTGTTTTTTTCCTAATATGTTTTGAGATAGCTTAAACTTTATTTTACTTACATATTAACTTTTAAATTTGAATCAAGTTAAGCATTCATCTTTTGCTATTATTCTTAATTAATATTTCATGCATATTATGTTTTTACATTTTGCATTGCTATTGGATCTTTACCTTGTGTTTATACTTTTTTGCAAAGGAACGAAGTATCACTTTAGCTCGTAGGCTATAGCTGAAAGAATTTCCTTTTTAATTTTTTTAATTTATTATGTAGATTTGACATTTTAATGACAAATAATATATGGTTTCATACTGAGTAAGTTATTTTGAGAGTTATGAAATCTCTGCATATAATAAAAGAAAAAGTCTGTTTGTGTGTGTGTGTGTGTGTGTCTTTCGTTCGCACTGCATGTGAGCTAATAGACCCACGGCTACGAAATTTGGTACATAGGTGCATCTAGACAAGAGCCAGTGCACCTCAAAGCGATTTTTGTTGAAATTCCAATTAGAATTTTTTTAATTTTATGTTTTGTGACGAAATCGCGTCATTTTGAGACATAATGGGCTATAGGAAAGTGAGATTTTACTCTACACACTTCGTTTTCACGTCGTCATAAAACTTAGGCACTTAGCTAATTTACAAACTTAAAAATAAATTTCGTGTTTCAATAGATCGATTAAATACGAATTTATTTAACAAAGTGAGCTTAACACCTTTTCAACGGGATTTTTTCTAAAAATGTTTATGTTTAAAAATGTACAGTTTATTTTTCTTTGATTTTTGGACACGTTAAATTTTCTTCCTTGCGACTGCTTTTACAAAAAGAACTTTGGAAAAATGATAATATTTTGTATTTTTAAAAATTTTTTTAAGTGAAGCTTCCGAGTACACTTCTCACATCTCACATCTTTAGAAATGTGATTTTGGCAACAATTTTCCTTTCTTCTTATTGTTGATAGATGTTTGATGAAATTGCATTATTTTGAATAGTTTCATTCTTTTAGAAATATGGGTTTGGCAACAATTTTTCATCATATTTCTTATGTCACTGTTTTTAAGAGATTGGCATATTTCATAGTCATTTTTTTATATATATAATACATTTTTATTGATGTTTTTTATAAATGTGTTCTGCAGAGTAAAATTGTGCGTGGAATTTTTTGTTTTTTGAGTTTCTTTCATGTTATTTTTTGCTTATTTCACTGTCTGTAAGATATTGAAAAGTTTTGCATGATTTTTTTCTTCAACGGAAAGTTGGTTAATTTCTTTATTAGGATAATTAATATTTGTATTAAGGAATATAGCTTATTTCATTGTAATTTTTTTCTCTTGAAAATATAAGATAAAATATCATTAATTATACTTTGCTTTTCAGAATTTTTTGTTTTTTGTATTCTTTTATATTATTCATTTCTCATTTCTCTGTTTTTAAGATATTGAAAAGTTATGAGTAATTGTTTTTAGGAAACAAAGTTTTTAACCTCCTTTATACCATTTGAGTTCTTACAATTTTGCAAAGGGAAGTTGGTTAATTTATTTATTAGGATAATTAATATTTGTATTAAGAGATATTGCTTATTTCATTGTAATTTTGTTATACGTAATAACTTTTTTTATAAAGTTTTTCTGCACAGTAAAATTCTACGCAGTTTTTAAATTTAACGTTTGGTGTTCCCTTCAGCCATTTTTCCAGTACATTTAAAAGCCAGACAAAGGCTGGCAGCGAAGCTGCTAGTAATTAATAAAATACAGTCAACAGTCTTTAATCCGGACATCCATAATCCGAAATGATATATAAACCGGACGTCCATAATCTGGACCTCAAAGCTACAAACTTTCTGCGCATGTGCATAATACATTTACGCATGCACGTTTAATGTATAACGGATGGTATAAGCTAAGCTAAAATGATCTAATTATCTATTTCAGTTAATTTTGCTGATTGCATTGTTCCTTAATCTTCGAATTGGATCCGGCTTATTATTTTTTGCAGACTGTTAGAGCAATTTCATAAAAGTAAGCTTGAACTTTCGACTATGTCAAATAGAATTTCCGATGTGGGAGCTCCCAAAGGATCTACAAAGCGAAAGTATATTTCGATGTCCATCAAATAAAAAGTGGAATTGCTGCAAAAAATGGATAAAGGCATATCCTTTGTTTCTCTAACCATTCCGAAATCTGTTTATCAATTTCACGCTGCTCTGCGGGGGGGGCATCGCAGCGCGCAATGAACTGGTAGTTGATCTGTCAGCACTATCCTTATCTTCAGGGCAGATGTTTTTATTTTATTCGGCTTATAATTCCTTATTAAATGTAGCATTTCATCTCGATGTACTCCATCTGTGATATGATTTAAATCAAATTCTTCGTCATTATAAATATCACGAATACACATCAAATGGTTTTCTGGTTGCAATTTTCTAATTTCGACTATGCGTAATGTATGCTTTACACATGCGCGCATTGAAAGAAATGTTTAATAAAGTAAACAAAAATCGAAGTCCCGACGAGTCCGGATTAAAGACTTTTGACTGTAGTACATTTATTATGACAAAGATTTCGTGTTTTCTGTAGTGGATTCCAAATGCCAAATGGCATTTTTCTTCCCTGGTAAAAGTTATGTGTCGTACAGCTTAAGGAAGAGAAGCATCTTCTTTATGTTACTTTCTTAGTACATTTGCCAGCTCTCATTAAACCTGCATTTTGGTTCGCAGCTTGTATATTTTGCTGTTTGATCTGTTGGTGATGGAAAATGTAGTCATCTGGAAAAAAGTGGGAATTTTTTATGATTAGAAAATTATTGAAATCTCACTGCTTTGTGTCTCATTTTTATACTTACGTTAGTATTATATACAATATGTTTAGATGCAGTACAGTTACAGATTTTCTATAAAAATAAATGGGAATAAAATTTGTACTAGCTTTTCTTGTGAACAGTTAGTGAAAAGCCAAGACTTTACTTTTATTGACAGTTAGATAATTCAACCTTGCATTTAAAAACATAATTACCTATTTCTGAAATGATTTTGATAGTATTTTGCTGTTTCCTGCTATCTTTTTTTTTAATTATATCATATAAGAAATGTTTTCATTGATTTAAAAACTTTTGCTTTAAACATTCTTTACAAATTGATTAATAATCTTTATTATTATTTGTGTTAAAAGTTTATCCTTGGATTAGTTTCTTGTAATAATTTTAAATTAATACATCAAATGCTTTGTTATATTACACTGTTTTATAAATGATTTTATGTACACCCTGCTCTTTTTAGAGGAAAATCCTATCAAAGTAACCAAAGTTGAGCCGTGGAATAGTGTTCGAGTAACTTTCAACATCCCTCTGGAAGCTGCACAGCGTCTTAGGCAATTAGCTGAGAGAGGTGACAGAGTGTTACGAGAACTTGGAATCCTTTCAGTGCAAATTGAAGGAGACCAAGTAAGTATTCTTTTAAATGTAATATTTAAGGAAAAATTATTTATTGAATTGATAGTATTATTTCTATTGTCCTCAAAAGTTTATTGAAGTTTTTAATATCATTAAGCTTATGTAGAAAGTAACTAATATGCTTATGTAGAATTTAGTAACAAATATGCTTGTGTTTTGAATATTTATAAAATACTTATCTTGTGCATCTGTGTATTAATTTAGATGCCATTTTTTTTTTTTTTTTTTTTTTTTTAATGTATTGATGAATGAACTGAACTTTCTGATGTGATTCCTGAGAATACTTTTCAGCACCTGTTACATTTTGTTCAATATGAGTTATATGTATAAAACCAAGAGTTTTGTAAATGCCCCATGAATGAAAGCCCTCGGTGAAGCTTTGAATTTTAGATGTAACTAAAAATGACTGGAAATTTAAATAAGTTGAATAAGCCAGATACTTACAATTCATCCAAAAAGTCTCTAAAGGATTCTATTATTACTGAATATGAGGCTATTAGAAATCATTCTAATACTTAATTGCTGTCTTAAAGTTAGTCTAATTGTTTTTAATTAATCTCTATTTCTTCAGCTATCAATCGGACATTTAACCCCTTAAGGACCAGCGTCAGGAGAATGAAGCGCAGTCACGGGGCCGGACCCACTGAAACGTATCGTCGCCACCGGCCCGCGCATTTTCAGCAGCTAAGCCTAATTAAAAAAAAAAAAAAAAAAAATCTTATAAAATCAGCATTTTGATATTATGACTTTAATTTTTGAAGTTGCATAATTAATGTACTTGTTTTTAATGTGTATTAATATAAAAATATCACATTAATAGAAATAAATTAAACAGGCAAAATATTAAAATCATTATTATAAACACAGAAATAAGTACTATAAACATGAAAAAAAAATTACAAATAAGAAATTAAAAAAAAAATTACCTGTTGGTAATTAAATTCCAATTTAAAAATTCTGCTGTGTTTGAAATAATTCACAACAAGGATCGACGCACAGTCCTACATTGCATATTTCGCACTCAAAATACGTTGTTTGTTTTCGCTTTTCCTTGGTTTTAGCACACACAATGCATCTTCTCCTACTTTTATTACCTTTTTCGTCAACGTAAATTTTCAGAAACTGTCTTCAAGTTAGACGGAAAGGGGGAGTGTCAGGTGATTTTGGACAAATTTTTGAGTTTTTAAGTAAGGTCTCTTAGCCATGGCTAATGGAATGAAATTGAATATAACCCCTACATATGTCCCAAAACTTTTTCAAAAGACATTCAGAAATATTTCTTCCTCAAACCCTATGTGACATCAGGTTTATATTAGAAAACTTCCTGTTTTTCTAAATCGAAAACAGCGTCCACGATGACTGGAAAGTGATCAAGGAAAGACCCCCCAATGGCGGGATATCCGTTACTGATCACCTCATTCTATACATTATATGTAAAGTAATTACATTATATACCAAATTATGATGTCTGTGTCATTATATATAATGATCATTCAGGGCATTATGTATAATGACCTATTAAATTGAGTAAGAAAAATTAGCATTTTTAGGACCATAGGACTTTAGATGAATCTTATGCTATCAAAAATATTAATTAAAACCAAGGTCGTTTCAACCTTTTTGAAAAAAAAAAAAAAAAAATTATCCTTACCTATAAAAGATTCCAGAAAATATTTGTTTTACAAATTTTGAATATTTCAAGGGTCCAATGCACCTTTTTACAAATCCATGTAACAGTTATGAATATTTCTTAAGCATTGTATTTTATTCTTTCCTAGTGCTTCAGTGAAGTGTATTTCAGTGCCGTCTACCTTTCCGAAAGGATCGGTATGCATTGCATTACGTGTATAGTGTCATTATAAAGATTTGTTTTGATGTTATAACAAGCCATTTCAGTTTTATAAAAAAAATCTCATGGTATCACTTTGCTTATATCATAAACATTTGTATAATTCTTAACATTTTAATGAGAAAAGTCATTTTTTAATACATTTCTTCGTTATTGAGTGCTACAAGTATCTAAATTTTTTCTAATGTGCATTTTGCATTCCTGTTAAGGACATTCTTGTAGTCTTACACTGGTATTTTATGTGAATTCTTACATATAACGCTGAACATATTATACTATGTTTTCAGTTTTTTTCTCAGGCCCACCAGCGGCCGAGCTTTTATCTAATCATCATTTAGAACTCGAACAAAGAAATTCCAAGTATAAATATTTCATCTGCCTTGTGCGCATCCTCTTTCGTCACTTCTAATACACTGATTTGAATTTGACTGCCTTATAACTCACTTCTTTTAGGTTTCTTGAAGAAGGAAAACTTGTCGACGACTCACACAGGAAAGGTTTACTTCACGCATAGGAATATAATCCATGTTGACTAAAAAATGCAATAATAAATTGGTACGATGAGGGAATTTAGTAGAACCATTCACTAACAGATGTGGTTGGAGCGGCTGGATGTTGAGAGCAGATTGATTGACTCTCTGGCATGGTAGATAACTGGAACTCTTTAGAAGAATCAGAAAATCACTTGATTGTCGGAATGTCTTTTTACTACTTGTTGATTTTTGTCAACATATTTTATTGCATAACTTATCTCATTACACAGCACAATGGGGGCAATCTGAACCGTTTAGTTTTAAAACACGCAGTTACTTTTTTTAAACAATGGAGCTTAGCGAACATGATTTAACAGTACAGTGCAAGCAGTGAAAGACGAATGCTCACAAGACAGCTCAAGTGTTTATACTCTAAAAAGTCCTTGAGATCTAAATGATGATTGGGCCCACCAGCGACTGAGCGGTAAAGTCGCTGAACACTGGTAGTTCGGTCCAAGGTTCGAATCCCACAAACAGGCTGGCTGCATGGTCATTTTCGTGGTTTTCCCCATGTGTAACGTGTATACAAGCCAGTTTCCCTTAAAAAGTCCTCCACGAAGGCATCCCTCCCCTTAGACAGATAGCTCTAGTGTGCTTTGCTATAATTAAATAAACCAAACCAAACCAATTTTTTTCTCGTGTTGGTTTGCATTTATTTTTTCTTTCAGCTTACCTATTTCTATGATCTTAATATATTACAATAGCCTTTCATGTATTGCATTATTTATTGTCATTTAATATTTTTAATTGACTGCATCCTTTTTCCTAATTGTATTTCTGAAAATTTTAAATTTTAAATTTTTTTTAAATTTTAAATATTTTACTGAAATCAAAGTTGCCCTTATGAATTTGCCATCACAGTCAATAACCCCAAACCCTAATTTGGCTAGTTTCAATTAAACCACCCTTGTTGTTTCTGCAATCAAGTCCAATATTTTCAATAGTGTGAGCAGTATAGTTGCCGCACCCTCCCTCCAATAGACTGAAGAAGAGAAAGCTTCCAAAGAAGCACCTAATATATTTGCACTCTGAGAAAAGAGTAAAAACTTTGTGCTTTTATGTGAGGTCTTGGGCTGAAAACCCATTACAGTTGATTTTTCATATGCATGACCTAGCTGGAAAGACTTCTCTTCAAAACACTGAAAGCAGTTTTGCTGCTTTAAGTAATGGCTTGTGTTAACTTATGGCCATTGTATGAAAAATATCTCATTAGATATAAGTAAAAAAAAAAAAAAAAAAAAAAAAAAACTCCCTGATCTCCCAAATATCAGCAGTGCTGCAATTTAAAATTTTTCTCACCTTGAGCAACAGGTTGCTCAGTTGACAAACAGAGCATTTATTTATTTAGAGCTTTTATTATTTATGGCTATATATAATAAAAGCCAATCTTACAGTATTGTAAATAATTTTACAGAGAATAGTAGAAGCTACACTCAGTGCTGCAGCAGATGCTGTCTGCAATACAAAGAGCTCAAAAGCTGTCTTTTGTTCCCATAAAAATTTGTTTCCTAGATAAGAAAATGTTTTACCCATATAGTTTTCATAAGATGAAAAGTTCAGTAATCGTCGGGTGAACAGCATGATTTCCTCATTAGTCACATTCTCCTGGCTGAGTCATTCTCAAAATTAAAATTTCTAATTGACACTGGTGCAGATTTCTGAAGTGGTCCTGTCAGAATTCAAGTAATGCATGCTCTTTGATGCTAATGCCATGAAAATATGTACTTTTGATACAAAACCTTTAAAAATTAATTTAAATTATTATTATTTTTTCGCTTATTGCTGACCATGTGTTGAATTTTATTAAGTTCCTTGTAGATGTCAAAATAATCATTTAATGCTAAACGAAATTCTATTCTTTTGACAAAACCCTAATGCAGGGTTCGTACGGTCCTTAAGAGTCCTTAAAAGTCCTTAAGTTTTTTGGAATTGATTTTTGGTCCTTAAAAGTCCTTAATTTCGGCCAAAATCGTCAGAAGGTCCTTAATTTTTAATCATCTGAAATTTCTGACTGTTTTTACGACTGCCATTTTGAGTGTGAATTAGCATTTTGGAGGAATATTTTTGGCAATTCTCTGACAAACATCGTTATCTTTTGAATGGAAGAATGCGTCCATGGGTTATAATTTGTTCCTATTTCTAATATAAAAGGTCGGATAGAGATTTTTGAGCAAGTATGAAATGTAAAGCATTCGAAATTATTTCATTTTTTGTAGTTAAGAGCTCTTAAACAACTTTTCGCTTTTGGGGATGTGAATTCTTTTATTAAATTGCTCTAAATTTGGCGACTTATCAACATTGGCGATTTTAAGACCAGTTTCTATAGAAAATTTTTAATTCCGAGATCTGGAAATTTTTGGATGATTTTTTAAAACATGGTAACATTGATAAGTTTCATTAAAATAATGGTAATATATTGTAATTACATTTAAGAAATAACATTAAAATAAAGCATTTTTATTTTTGCTTGTCGTCGTTATTAAAGTTCCATTTTGGTCACTTTTTATACAATATTTTGAATCTGAAAAATAAGCAAGTATAATGCTATATAAAGCACAATTTACGAAATGGTTCTTAGCAAAAGCAAAATAGCTATGTAATTAATTAAA